ATCTCATTCGCTCATCATTGATTTATACTCATTCTATATTCTTTTCAGAATCAAATACACGATGAATCATTTGCATCTCGACATGTGTTTCATATCTGAAACAACAACGTTTGCAAGTAGTATCGACTAAAGAATGAAACAAGAAAAAAAGCAGTGTGTTATATTATTACATCATGAACGTTCAATAAGAAATCAGTTATCTCACATGATATTTTTGATTATTTTTGAGTACATGATATCTACTATTCATTTTGTAGCCTAAGTGATTACCTGGATTCTATATTAGCTGGCTATTGTCACTATTTACTCAACTTTCGTTCTGTTCTTAACTCGAAATTTGATCTTCTTTGCCAACATATATGGCCACATCAAGTCATTTCTATTGTATTATCCCATGACAATGATACATCAAATCAGTCAAATCTGTTCTTTTCTCATTTTAAACTGGAACAATTCATTCATCTTCAATCATTCGATATGACTACGATTAGTGATAATAAACACAGACCTACACTGCTATATATAACTTAATTCCTTGATTGAATTGACTAGCAGTATTTCATGCTCATAATCTCGTTTTGGCGTCATTGTCTCATCTACGTCATTTAACTCTTCAAAGTTTCTTTTACTAGGGCTTATCATTTATATTAAATCAAATTCCGAATCTTTATTCACTTGATGTCAAACTTTCTTATGATAATTATCCAAAGTGAACGTATAACATATCAGTATTGCCCTATCTAGGATGGCTCATCCTAATCATTCATGGTGCGTATAGTTATTTGAAAATTCTATATATATATATTCTTTGTTTTTTAAAATTAAGGTAAAAAAAGATCATGATCCATGTAGAACAATTTTTATCTAAAATATCTAACCTATGTTATTTCGAACTTATGGCCAAAAATGGGAATTACTTGTTTCACATCTGACTATATTCAACTGTCGATTGCATCTTCCATGTTCATTATCACATTTTCCCGAAGAAAATATTCTTGATTCATTTTGTTCACTATTTTGACTTGAACAAAAACGCTGATTTGTTGCCAATGATGGTCCATATTCTCAAAATATCTTTACGGTATCTCGTTTTACATCAAATGTTCTCGTATATCCGAATATTTATTGGTCACCAACATGCATATCGTCCAATTTCTGTTTTGATAAATATATCCATCAAGTTGATTTGTCATTATTTTATCCAATTATTTAACGTTTTATCAATGTCACATCACTCGTATTCAATATAGAAGAAACTGACACCAATCTTATATCGACTTCATTTCTCGATCTCATTGAACATATGCCTCATTTACGTTCACTTTCGCGTCAAGATCTCTCTATATTATCTGGCTTATCACATGATATTGCCTTCGAAGCGATACGAACTTTACACGTACGAAACAATTTTGAAAAATCTGAAAGTGAAATCCACTATCGATTGGACCTAAATCGATTATGTAGTTTTATTAATTGATCAATTGAACTATCTATCAATTACACAATTTCAATTCTATTATCGTTCATCGTCACTGACGCGTTTCTCATCTCAAAGTTTTTGTTTTAAAGATATTTCATCATATGTGAGTGTGGAATGAGATGCTTTTATGTTTTATGCGACAGTTCAATGATATCTTTGAGAATAATAAGTTATAATTGAGTACGAAAAACTAATCGGTCTTTATCGAGATGATAATTTTTACTTTCATTGAGCGAAAAGCCGGCTCAGATCACTCGAAATTCTGAATAGCGTTTTAAATTTTATAGTAATAAGCTCCTTACCAATAAAAAAAAAATACAAACACAATCATATAAAAATTATCTTCGAAAAATTTCTTTTATTTTTGAAGAAATTTTTGTACGTTGGAAATTTGTTTTTATCTTATATTTATTCTGCTTCAGTGGGACTCTAATTCGTTCTCAAATATATCATTAATATATATTCTCTCGTTGTTTTTGCTTTTCTATTCTTTGCTTGTCATTGAATATTTTGATTTTAATTATCTAACAATCGAAATTCGTTCAAATGGTATTCGTCACTAACATATTGTTTGCGATAGATCATATTGATGAAACATTTTTGTTTATATGTTGAAATATCCGATACGTCAAAATGTTTTTAGTCTCGCACATTTTGCATATAAAAAATATACACCAGCTCCAATGCTTTGACGACCTGTAAATTTTATCATGTCAAATAAGTCTTGAAAAAACCTCAATCTTATATCAATATCTATACAAAAATCAAAATTTTTTCTACATAAGATGTATTGATTTCAATCGTTCTTTCTTCAAAAAATTAGCTTTTGCAAAGCAAAATTATTTTCCGTTTCAACTTAGAAGAAGAATAAATATTTTTCGAATCAGCTTTGATAGAAACTAAAGAGTTTCACACTTGAGAACAGGAGATAAAAGTGTATTTAATCATATATTAGCACTATGTGAGAATCACATGATCCCTTTTCTAATACTCAACTATCGTAATATTCTGCTGCACAATTAACCTTTTTCGGCAGAATAAGAGATAGAAATAAGTATTTTTGTAAACTTTTTACTTTTACAACTAAAAAATGAAAAGATAAATAAAATTGAATTGTCGTTTTATGTGAAAATGGCACGAATCGGACAAAAAAATCTTTGAGCGCAATCCGTGCGAGATTAAAATCTGAAATATGAGCGAATCATTTCAAATATCCAAAGGGAATACTTCTTATTTTTGTTACAGTCCATCACAAGATTTAAGTAAGAAATTTCGAAAGAAGTAGCTTATTTTCATTTCGCTTGACTGAAACATGTTCCAGGAAAAAGCACATCATTTATCGAAAAAAACAATCACTAACAAATTTTCGCTTTCGCAATAAGTTTGTCTGAGTCAATGTTGATATTGTTTTGTGCGTCCAATATTTTACATTTTAAACATGAAATAACATTTTTATTTTACTCGATAGCAAAAGTCAATTCCCATCAGGGATTTGTCTTATTTTCTACCGTTGGGCAGTTAGCCATCGTGAGAAAAATAACAGCAGAAAAGTTTGTACGCCATCATGCTGACTATTAAGAAAATGTGTCTACAATGAACGACCTTGACAATGTAACGTCTATAACCATTGAGACAATTCTTATCAGCTAATACAGAGCATTTGCTAGAAGTCTTTCGAAATTGATATAGAAAATTAAATAATGAATACACCATTAGTGATATCAAATAATTGTGTTGCAATATCAACTAAAATGCATGGCAAAATAAATAACTCTCTGAATGTAGCTATTTCTTTGTTTTCTTCTCGTGAAAACATAAAAGTGAGGAAAATTTTCAATCAAAAACAAATGATAAATCAAACTGTTCGGTAGTTCGATATATTTTTCATTGAAATAATAGAATTGAATTCATAATAAACATTCGTTGCTTCTAGTAATCTCATTTTTGACACTCATATATAAACATCGTTTTTCCTCTCACTTTGCTTGGATGACTGAATTATTTCGATATTTTGTTAATTTTTTTTTCGAGCAAATGTTATTGCATTTGATTTGATTAATATCAAAACAATAAACAGAACAGATTGATATTTTTTAATTCATTGAAGAAATAACTGAAATAAAGTCTTTTTTTTAAGAAGAATGGAAAAACTATTTGACTCTTCAATTTGTAATTTATGTTCATTGAATAGCTTATTCAGATAGTCTAGACTTTTACTTTTCTAAGAAGAACTCTTTGTATGTCGATAGACCGTAAATTAAATCAACTAAAAGGAAAAGATTATCTTTAGTTCAGATAGGAAATTACTCGTCATTGGAGATTGGATCTTTATCTAGTAAATTCGAATAGAAATATCAATGAATATCTGAATTTGTGCTTGATCAGATAAACCTTGAAAAGTCATTGAATCAACTTCAAAAAATAAAAGATTGATTAGGATTTTCTAGACACCTATCTGATGTTTCGGACTGATAATAGAATATAAAGAATTGTTGTATATTTCTCATATTGAGAAACATCTTGTAACCAAATGGTCTAATGATCAGATAATCACTGGAAGAAACGAAGAGGGAACTGATGTTAATCAACTCTATGGGATCTTGTCCTGATTGATTAGAAAAATTATCATGTGACGAAATAACCACTTGGTACCAGAGAAGTTCCAGTATTTCTCTAATATTTTTTCTCTATTCAAAATCATAACTGTTTATGTACTGCTCATTTTCTTTGTTGACAAAAACATGATTTTGTACGTTATATTTTGTTTGTGTTCTGTCATTGATGCAACCTACATTTTTATATTGGCAAGAAGAAAATCTACTTTTTCTTTTATCTGGCGTTTGTTCTCTTTCGCCCTAAGAAAACAAGAGAACAAACAAAAAGTGGGTATATGTTTATGCATGTATAAAAGAGAGCGAGTGGGATATATAAGTGTGTGTTTGCTTAGATAAATGACGATGACACTATCATTATCATACTTGTTGCCGACCAAAACACCTTTTTTTTGTTCAGGTCTTTTCTCTTATTTTTCAGATGCCATCGGCTGATTGAATAGTTTCGAATGTTGAAGTTAAATATACTCAAATCTTTATCTACAATGAATGGCATAAAGCAACAAATGGAAAAACATTTTCTCTCATCAATCCAAGTACAGGAGAAGAAATCTGTCAAGTAGAAGAAGGCATTAGAGTATGAATCTCTATATGTTCTTCATTGGTTCATTATCTATTTGTGATTTTCAGGCTGATGTTGATAAATCAGTTGAAGGTGCTCAAACAGCTTTTGATATTAAATCACCATGACATAAATTAGATCCCCTTTCTATCTCTCAACATAAGTCAATATGTAGAAAATGGAAACACTTAACAATGGTAAACTAGTAGAACGGACTAAAAGTGAAATATTGTTCTCAGCTGATTGTACTGAAACCAACTGAACAAACACCACTTAGTACACTTTATTGTGCTGCTCTTATCAAAGAGGTAAGATATTATTATGTCGATTATACTTTGTTGTTGTCATGATGATCGAGAGTGGCTTTCCACCAGGTGTTGTCAACATGATACCAGATAAAGTGAATGATATTTGTCATAATAATTTCATAAGGATATTTAGGTGATGGGCCTGAATGTGGTTATGCAATTGCTGTTCATGCACATATTGATAAAGTAGCTTGTACTAGTCCAGTTGAAATAAAAACATTCACTAATAAAACTAAAAAAAAAATGGATGTGAAATGTTTGATTGAAGGTTGGAAAGAAAATACAAGAAGCAGCAACTAAATCAAATCTTAAATGTGTTACATTTGAATTTGGTCAGTAACAAATACAGGATAATTTTCATCTGTGCTATTCTCTTTTCACATATCGGTGGAAAATCTCCTTTAATCATCTGAGGATGAGGATGAGTATTCTATAAGACTTTCAAATAATCAAATTGATTCTAATACTGAACAAGGATCACAAGTAATAACCTCTTTAATCTAAAGAATAGTTCCCTTCACTTGTGTATGATAGATAAATGATAGTCAATTCCCATAGATTTTGGATTTTAGAGAATCAGGTTAAAAGTTTGGAGATAAATTAGAATGTGGTAGTGAACGAGTTGATAATAAAGATTATTTTATCAAAGCAACTATTTTTAGTGATGTAAAAGATGATATGCAAATTACTCGTGAAGAGGTATAACATTTTTTTTTATTAGATTCTATAATAATGTAAAAGTTTAGATATTTGATTCAGCAATATCACTCTTAAAGTATGATTCATATGAGGGAGTTATCAAACGAGCAAACGACACGGCTTTTGGACTTGGTGCTGGAGTGATAACTAGAGACAGTAAATTTGAAAGAAATAGTTATTGATGATTATTCTAGTTTTTCAGTACGACGTGGTCTTACGCTGGCTCATCAAATACGACCTGGCTCTATTTGGATAAATACTTATAAGACTATATGCGATCAAGCACTATTTGATGGCTTTAACGAATCAGGTCAGGAAAGAGAATTAGGTCGATATGGTCTCGAACCATACTATCAAGTACAAATAATTGTTGTTAAACTTGCTTGAGGAAAAACAATACAAATTTTTCGTGAAGAACAGCTATTTGAATTTTCTTGTTTAACTTTCTAACATTTATGTAGCTTGCTCTCTAAACTCTTCCATGTATTGCGAAAGTCTCACTAATACGTACAACTAATTTAAATAAAATGTTTAAGTGCAAAGAATAGAATACTACGAGCAATCAGTTGAAACAACTCCTAATTACGGTAATAACTCGTATGAATGATCATAATCTAGTTTCAATTTAAGATACGTAATTAATAACATTTAAAATTTTATTGTTTAAAAAACTTTAAAGAAATACAATACAAAGAAACAAATTGATTATTGAAGAAGGAAAAGTGTGATCGATTCTTTTCTGCTATCGTAAAACATTACTTATTGATTATATATATAGTGAATCTAAAGAAGTTTTTATATATGATAAATTCTTTGATTGTTCCTGCTCTCTATCAGCTAAGTGATATCAGTTTTGAACAATAACAATAATATTCTTGTAAAAAATGTTAATTTGTTAACTGGAATCACATAAATAGATATATTATATTGGTGAAGAGAATGCTTTAGCCTGTTATTTACAACGCTTTCGAAATCCAGCGTACAATTATGAAAATTAGTTTTATTCGCTTGAAATCTTCGCTATTCTAAAAATTCCTTCTTTCCATCGTGGCGATTTCGTTCTGGAAGTCTTCCTTCATATATTGAGTGTTTCACATTAAACGAACTGATAAGATCTTTAGTAATAGAGTCACATCAAAAGAATATGATTTTGCATATACTAAGGACGATCTGATTTGCACCTGTTAGTAAAATAGTTTTATAGTGAAGTGCAATATTAAATATATATATATATTACTAGAAAAATTGTTCTTCGCTTGTCGCAAAGTCCAATCGATAAGACAAGTTTTAAAAAATACCACATTGATACGAAGACTTATTACAATACTCAGGTGTGCTACCTTATCAAATTTTTGTTTTCTCTTAACCAAATTAGTTTCATAAGTTGAACCATTCATTAAGATTGAAGACATCATCTGCAACTGAAACAGAAATGAATATAAGTAGATAAAGGAATGAGCTAATATATGTTCATTCTTTCTTTTCTTCTTATATGATAAATCAAGGTCAATCATGTAGACAAAGATGAATCCGTTCTCTATCATTAATCCAAGTACAGATAAAGAAATTTGTCAAGTAGAAGAAGGCACAAAAGTATCAATATATATATACACATGATTATTTTCGTTCTACGTGTAATTTTTATTGTTTTCAATATTGTAGAGTGATCCTGATAAAGCAATTGAAGCTGCTGAAAAAGGTTTCCAATGTGATTCACCATGGCGTAAGTCTGATCCTGCTGCACGTGCTCAGTTAATTTGTAAACTTGCTGATTTACTTCTACATGTTGTGGGTTATTTAGCAGTAAAAATGTTCACTCTGTTTGTTTGCATCTACATCATAAATGAATATTCAGAAATTAGAAACACTGAGTAGTGAAAAACTGCTACAAGAGAGTTATTGCGAGATTCTTGGAGCAGCTGTTTGTCTTGGTTGTTGTAAACCTCTCTGACATTCTCTTTTTTTTATTATCGATGATATTCACATGTTATAGATGCTGGATGGACTGATAAAATCACTGGTGAAATACTTCCATCAGAATCAGGTATTTTTATTACCTATATTAGACATGAACTAGTTGGGATCTATGAACAAATCATTTTATGGTCAGTTCAAACATTCAATAAATGAAAATTCAAATTGTACTTTCTTCTTTCAGTAATTATTCAGTACGATATTCTATCTTTCATATGTATCATACAAAAGTATTGTTGCCATTGTATTTTGGACTGTTATGTTGGCCTTGAAACTTGGATCAGCATTAGTTTTTGGTAACTTCATTACTTCTATTAATTTACATTTTCTTATATATTGCAATAACAAATAGGCAATGTAGTTATTCTCAAATCATCTGAACAGACATCACTTACTACACTCTTTTATCCTTCTGCCATCAAAGAAGTGTTATTCAACATCTATGAACAATCGAAGTTTATTCTAATACTAAATCAATAATCTAGGTTGGTTTTCTACCAGGTATTATTAACAGTGTATTAGGTAATACACATCACCAGAATGAAAACAACTCTTATAACGATATACATATGTAAGTCATGGATCTAACTATGGTCATGGATGAGAAGATTAATAAAATAGCTTTTACAGGTTCACTCAAGGCAAGATTAGTGCAGATGGAAGACAAAATAACAAAAGCACATGATATTTTGTTTTAAGTTGGGAAAAAGATTCAAGAAACTGCAGGAAAAACTAATTTAAAGCGTGTTTCACTAGAACTTAGGTAGTAAAATCATCTTTCTTACCTGTCTGCTTTGTTGCCTTTTTCATTACATATAGGTAGTAAATTACTATTAATCATTAGTGAAGGTACTGATCGTATGTATTAAATAATTCTATTACTTCCACTTTCATTGTGCTTCCTAATGACGAAAAAGGTTTATAAACGATAGAAATAATTTGTTTCGCATGTTTTGGTCGATGTTCTTGTTCGAACTGCTCATAGAGCAGTTTTCACTCATGCAGGTCAAGTATGCTTTGCTGCATCAAGAATATTTGTTCATTTCACACTTCACGATGCCTTTGTGTCTAAAAGTGTCGAATTAGCAAAGAAACGTATTGTTGGTGATCCATTTGATCTTACAACTGAACAAGGACCATACGTATAGGAAAGCATTTCAAGCAAAGTGCCATAATCTAAACTATGGAAAAAACATATTGATTGATGATTCAGAAAACAATTTGATAAGACGACAGATTAGCATTAATTTCTTTTGTGTATTCTACAAAACAGTCATACTCAATTAGAAACAATTCTTGAATGTATTCAACCGGGCAAAAAAAGATGGTGATAAAGGTTATTTTATTCGACCTACTATTTTTACTAATGTAAAAGATGATATGAAAGTAGCTCGTGAAGAAGTTTGTCTTTTTTTCTCTTTTCTTCATTTCATTGAAATCGTTTTCTTCTACTTAGAGAATCTCTTAGTTTCAACGTATTTTCTCATTAGCCGATCCATCGGATATATTCAGCAACAGCATCGAAATTCTTATCTACATTGGAATCGGAATCATTGGTTGAATAATACAAATAGTTTAGGTTTGATGTAAGAAACTTAAATACAATACCATACTTCTCTAACTTCTGACGGTGCTTGACTGCAAACGTAGATCTCTCTACTAAGACATTGAACCTCATATGGTATGAAGTGAAACTTAAGACAAAAAAAACAGACCATGCAAGTTGTACGCTACAGTCTATTCAAATGATTACCTTTTTATTTCTTTTTCTAATTTAGTTTATGATTATTAGCAGAGGATCTACTAGAATACCAGACAACATGGCTGGAGTAAAATTTTTGATTTTGGATTTAATTATCTTAAAATAAAGGTCGCATGTAGGTATTACTAAATCCGAAATATTAACTCGATCTGATAATGATTCATTGAATTATGACGTATGTCATGGTAACAGGCCTTAAAGAGTTCTAATGCAAAATGATAATTTTTATTTTTGGTACTTTTTAATATATTGTAAAACTGAAGCATTATTCCACGAATTAATATAGTATTGATTGTTGTCAAAAGGAAGAGCATCTCTTTTTCTGTCGATTCCACATAAGCATCATTTTATAGGAAAAAAGGGTTAATACGATGATTTTTTAATGAAGAAATGTATGGTTTTTCCTACCATGTTTTTTCATGTTTTTTTGCGTTTTTTAAAAGTATTTTGACTTTTGAATTAAAAAATGGGGCTCCTCACGAATTTTATGATATCAGAAGATAGCCCGTAAAAAAAACTCCATCTTCTATGTGAAAATATCTAAGAAAAATCATGGCTGGCTCAATTAACTTTTTTCAACAAAGTTCATCACGACGTATTTTTTATGCTGATTATAACGTGTTTTCATTGTTTCTTGATGTTAATCATTTTTCATTCACGATTTAATCTATAAGTTCATTTAACAAGCATAACTACATCGAGTAGAATGTCAGAGCCATATTTGTAATGATACTTCTATGTATATAAATGTGGTCGATCCAGTGAGCCCCGCAGTGCGTCAGTTCTAAATTTCGAGCTCACTTCACGCCAGTCCATTTTTATACTTAACAGTACATAGTAGGATTCCATCAATTGTAGCCATAGACTATGAGCATTATGTGACTGTAAGTTAGTTAATTAATTAATACCCAACTAATTAGAACTAATTAGAGAGAGCACTCAATTAATCAGCACTAATTAAGACGACTAATAGTTAAGGTAAGCATAGTTTGCAGTAGACATCTGTAAAGTTTTGAGGGCTATTAGGGTCATTGTTGAATGCGTTAGGAAATATTGGGTTTATGAGTAATGTAAGAAACGTGTACTTGAGTTTTGCTTTATCGAGTAAGAGTAAGCTTTTTTGTTAGCTGAAGGTAATTGAGTCGCGTGATAAAATGTCTTCGATACACAAGTAGTATATGCCGTGGAGAAAATGTTTGAAAATGTGGGTAAAGTTTGAGGATTTCTGTAGTTAAAGATCGATTGGTCATTAGGTGTGCAACAGACCCGGCTCATACGAACAAAGCTGGCTGACTAGTTCTAGCTTAGCGAACTGAGCTGAATCTATGATACACCTACTTACGGTTGCCGCTGCAGGGTAGGGCTTTAGGATTTATGGATACTCCTGTATAATAGTCCTTGAGTACCTGCAGCACAGTGGGGAGTTTTCGCATAAGCAGGAGAACATACCATTTTTTTGTCCAGAAATGGCTTTTCATTTGCTTAGAAATGATCATACATCATTCAGAGAATCATCTTTAAGAAAACAGAAAGTTTTTAAGAAAAAAATTTACGAAAAACTGTGGCTGGGGAGTACCTCAGCCATAATTTTCCGAAAACAATTTGTTTTGAAAAATATGTTGAGCGACAAATCACTCGAAGTAGTGTAATGCATCCATTCCGAATATCACCATAGTTTTCCTTCAAAGAGTAAGATCAGTGCCAAAAATCGGAGATTTTACTGTACAATAGCTTAGGAAAGGTTTCATAAGTATGCGCCACTATCATAAGTAGGTTACATATGTAAGAACGTCTGGTAAAAATGCGCGCTCGATTCGACGTTTTCTCTTTGTAGTGCTTACAATATATGGAACGATATGTTTTCAGATAGGTTTTGGATCCCGAGATTCTTTGTCTTCTACTCTATTTTAAATTAAATTTGGATCACTTTTTTTTAAACATAAGGCCTACCCATGAAGAAGCTTTTTGTGATATTGTTTGCTCGTGCAATATTGTTGCATATTGCCTAGCAGCTTGACTTTCTTTATTTATGCTGATTTCTGGCGCGCAAGCCTTGGCGAGCTCTTTTCTTGGGCTTTATAAAACTTTGAGAACCACTATTTTTGGAAATGATAGATCACATATGCATGTATCTACGCAAGTCGCTAGATTCTATAAAAGAATATTTTCCCACATATCCGCCTGGCTTCCCACTGTAACAGACATCAACGCTTGCTGATTCAGCGTTACTTCACCTGTGTATTGACCTTATGTTGTTCTACTTGTAAGTTGGATAAAACCCACTGATGACAACTAACAAAGTGCTCCGTTCTTTATTTTCTTATCAAATATTTATTATGCAAATGAAGACTGCTATTCAAGTATGTTGTGTGCAAAGTCATCAACTTTCCGCGAAAGAGGAATAAAAGTATGTGCGCCAACCAACTTTTTTCTCTCTTTCTGTGATTAACTCCTGCAACACAAACGGCATACTGTATCATTGTTGAAAAACAAAACAGGGGTTCATGGTGTCTTGTCGAGCCTGTTTGAATACATAATGTATCCATTGTAGGCTTCTTAACTAATTGGTGATCAAAGAGCATAAAAATAAAACTTTTGAAAAGGTTATTTCTCAAACCTATGCGAATCTTTGCGAAGAGCTCGTAATGGTACAAGATTCTCATGGAAAAGTCTCCAACTAATCCATACCGTTTTTGTTGATATTTTGCATATATGTAGGGTTCGATGAGATTAGAAAAAAACTTAAAAGGACAACAACCCATAGGCCTTCCTTCTCAAGTTATGATCATTTTACTTGGTTTACCACCTAGGACAAGGGATTCAGCGAAAAATTAAATTGAGAAATTTCGATCTGAATTTTGTCCACATGCAAGTCTTATGGCCTATGTATTAGCCTAAAAGTTCCAATCAAAGCGAACGTCTCTTTCTCGAAATATTGCGTTATCAAGAAAACATTACCATGCTACATACATGTCAGGAAAATCGACTTCTATGGAAAAATCAATATTTTACGAAAGAAGCATTTGTTTTGACTGCAACCTTAAGCCTAATATATAGGTCATAAGACCTGCATGTGCATGAAAGCTGATTTTTCACTGAATCCCTTGTCATAGGTGGTAAACCAAGTAAAATGATCATCATTCGAGAAGGAAAGCTTATGCGCCGTTATCTTTTTAGGCTTTTTCTAGTGTCATCAAACTATACATATGGGCAAAATATCAACAAAAAGGGCATGCATCCGTTGGAAAACTTCTTTCTTCAGTAACTTTGATGTTAACCTTGTAGAATTCTAGTCTGTAGTCGACTTACTAATGATCAAAGAGCTAATGTCCATTTCAGAGTTAAATGGTCGTGGGCATTTTTTGAATAACTTTAAAACAAAAAGGGAGAAATGACTCGGGCTTTCAGCACTATTTAGAGTCAACATTACTGCATCCTTTTATAAAGTCCACGAAAAACTCCAGCTGCTTTTCTTATGGGATACAGCATAGGTTTTAAAGATGAACTTAATTCCCTTTGAAAACAATACGTTTTCTAAACTATCATATAATGAGTAGATAGCCTGACTTTGCCTCTATCGATCAACGAAAGCCCGAGGTCGATAGCTATTTCTCTTCAAAAGATATAAAGATTTTACTGAATGCTACTCATCAAAATTTTTCAAAATCTAGGCAATGGAAGAATTTGTACTAATAAACGAATTGATTGACCTTATTCGGATCAGATGATCACTTTCAACAAGAAACTAACGAATTTAAAATATGACGTGCTTATGGCGTGCCTGGCCAGAGATCCTTGAATTTCAAGATATGTCAAATTTAGCTGTAAAGATAAATCAGAACAGGTTTTCTCCACTATTGTAAGGACAAAACACAGTATAGTTCGGGCTGATTAGGAGATTTGGAGAGATCTTCCTTCATGTGGCCTGAGGAGTACCATGTTTTGTCATGACAATACTGGAGCCACCCTTTACCTGATTCATTGTTATACCTAAATTTCACATACCTTGAAATTTAAATAACTTGCTCTAGGTACGCCATCAGCACGTAATATTTAAAATTTGTTAGTTTGACAGTGAGAGCTTTCTTTTAACCCGAACATAGTCAATCTCTTTAACTTATAGTACACGACCTTCCACTGTTAGGTATAAAAATGTAACAATGAATCAGGTAAAGGTTGACTCTATTATTATTATAAGGACAAAACATGGTGCTGTTTGGGCCATATGAAAGAGGACCCCTCTAAACTCCTTTATCGGCCCGAATAACACTATGTTTTATCCTTACAATAGTAAAGTAAAACTTTCTTGATTCATTTTTATACCTAAATTGTACATACCTTGAAATTCAAGAGTCTCTGTCCAGGAACGCCATCAACATATCATATTTAAAATTTGTTAGTTTGGCAATGAGACCTTTAATTTGATCCGAATATGGTTAAGCAAATCAACTGGCAGTACAAACAGTTCCATTATAAGTAAAACTGTTCCCGGATACGCTATCATATCACAGATTATGGATTGAATCAAGTGAAAATATTGATCCTTTGTCATAAAATAAATCGAATGCATGGATTCTGATAATGTTCTTAATAGAAAAACAAACTCCAAAGGTTAGTGAATCATGTGATGACGTGAAAGACGGCTAGAAATTTGTATAAGGAGATATTTGTTAATTGCTTAGATTTTGAAGAATTTTGATGAGTAGCATTCAGTAAAATCTTTATATCTTTTGAAGAGAAATAGCTATCGACCTCGGGCTTTCGTCGATCGATAGAGGCAAAGCCAGGCTATCTACTCATTATATGATAGTTTAGAAAACGTATTGTTTTCAAAGGGAGTTAAGTTCATCTTTAAAACCTATGCTGTATCCCATAAGAAAAGCAGCTGGAGTTTTTCGTGGACTTTATAAAAGGATGCAGTAACGTTGACTCTAAATAGTGCTGAAAGTCCGAGTCATTTCTCTCTTTTTGTTTTAAAGTTATTCAAAAAATGCCCACGACCATTTAACTCTGAAATGGACATTAGAATGAAGTGAGTCGTACAAGAGTACTCCTCGAAATAAGATAAAAAGTAAAATCAATGGCTGGTTCGAAGGGATTGGAAATTTTCAAAATACAAGTTACAAGGAGACGCTATCTATCTATCTTGACATGAGGGCGTGAAGAGGCCTGACATCATTCACGCCAACTTTAACCATTAACTTTACTGCTTCACATGATCGACAAGATTTTTAACTTGAAGAATGAAAGCATGAGTGTGTGACTGTGGGTGTCGGTGGACGTGGGCGTGCTTGCTCAAGAGAAGACTCACACCCACACCTACACCCATATCCGCGCCTACATCGACACCCACAACCACGTTCACGTCACTCGCTTCCGCTCTCACACACACAGCCACTCTTCCACATAGCCATCCACTACTCACAATTACAACTGTACCAACCCACATCGACGCCCACCCGGAACTGCAGACACAACCGCATCCACCAGCACCAATCCATACCATACACTCACAGCTGCATCCACCCACAGCCACATCCACCCATACTCACATTCGGAAACCCATCTACCTAGGCACACACATCCCAACATAAGATCGCACTAGCCTATAAATTTATGATGATGATACCTCTACTTATTGTGTTTGTATCGTTCTTCTTGCTATCTCATTCTTCTCATTATATTTACTAATGCTTAATTTCTGCTTATCTTCTATTGTCAATCTCATTTTATGGGGACAATAAAAGTTAATATAAAAAAAGAGCAAACTAAAGTTGGAAAGAATAACCATAAAAATAAATTATGTTGTTGGATTTTTTTCTTTCATTTGCTTTTGACAAGCATATTTTCAATTGAAAGTAGGTAGGGTTTATCTTTGAGTGTCAACAAAAAAAATACGTACCCATATTTGACGTCGTAGAATAATCTAGAAAAAAAAACATCCAACATCGAATGTATAAATAGAAAACAGTGGTCTCTATCCAAACAACAATTGATCATTCACAATATTCAATCGTCGAGCAAACGTCAAAAACAACATCGAAAATGAGTAGACAACGACGACTACGAATGGCTGAAAATTACCTAGTCATCTGGGTCGACGGCAATATCAACATGGCAAATGAAGATTCCCAGAATACACTCGCGCAATTGCGCGGCGTTGTTAATGAAGTTAATCCGTGCACCACGGCCGAACAATGTATCCAGAAGCTCCAGGAAAACAATGAGGAGACATCATTTGTCATCTCCTCAGGTGCATTAGGACAACACCTGGTACCAGAAATTCATGGCATGCCAAAATTAGATGCCATATATATCTTTTGTGGCAACAAACAACGCCACCAAGAATGGGCTAAAAATTGGCCCAAAATTAAAGGTGTGCATACATCTATCAAGCACATCTGTGGAAAATTGGCACTAGCTGTCAAACAATGCAATCAAGATCAAGTAACGGTCAGTATTATCGGTGTCAATGAAGGAGGTTCTAGCGAAAATCTCAATCAGCTAGAGCCTTCCTTCATGTATACTCAAATATTCAAAGAAATACTCCTTGACATGGAACATGGTCAAAAAGCCGTTAAAGACTTGGTCACATATTGTCAAGAACAATACGAAGGCAATACCAAAGAACTCAAGTTAATCAATGAATTTCAACGTGCTTACCATCCAACATTGGCATTATGGTGGTATACACGCCAATGCTTCACATACAAAATGCTCAATCGAGCATTAAGAACATTGGATGGCGACATTATCATCCGAATGGGATTTTTCCTGTGTGATGTTCATCGACAAATTGAAGAATTACACAGCCAACAGGTCAGTCAATATCATGGAAAGTCCTTTCTAGTTTATAGGGGTCAAGGATTATCGACAAGTGACTTTGAAAAACTTGCAAAAAACAAAAGTGGTCTCATATCGTTCAACAACTTTTTATCCACCAGTACAAAACGAGATGTTTCCCTCGGTTTCGCCAAAGATGCATTAGAAACGATCGATATGGTCGGCATCCTCTTTCAAATGACAGTAGATCCTACTGTCTCATCGACTCCTTTCGCCTCCATCCAGGAGGTGAGTTATTACAAGGACGAAGAGGAAATTCTCTTCTCCATGCACACCGTTTTTCGAATTGATGAAGTTCGAAAACTGGACAAGAAAAGTCCACTTTATCAAGTGGACCTTAAACTTACGTCGGATGATGACCAACAACTTCGTCAATTAACCGACCGTATACGAGAAGAATCTTCAGGTGGCACTGGATGGTATCGACTGGGTCCATTGCTGCTCAAAATTGGTCAATTTGACAAGGCCGAAGAATTGTACATGGCACTACTAGAACAAGCATCCAACGACAGTGATAAAGCATTTATCTATAACCAGTTTGCATGCGTGAAACGGGACCGAGGAGAATACACAGAGGCAGCGTCATTTCTCGAGAAATCACTCGAAATTTATCGAAGAACTCTTCCAGAAGATCATTCTTCATTGGGTCTTACCTACAATAACATCGCTGTAGTGTACAACAACATGGGCGACTACTCGAAAGCACTTCAATTTTACGAAAAATCACATAAAATCTACGAAAAAGCTCTGCCTCCGAATCATCCCGAATTGGCTATTTCCTACAACAACATCGGTCAAGTGTATAACGACATGGGCGACTACTCGAAAGCACTTCAATTTTGCGAAAAATCACATAAAATCTACGAAACAGCTCTGCCTCCGAATCATCCCGATTTGGCTATTTCCTACAACAACATCGGTCAAGTGTATAACAACATGGGCGACTACTCGAAAGCACTTCAATTTTACGAAAAATCACATAAAATCAGAGAAAAAGCTCTGCCTTCGAATCATCCCGATTTGGCTACTTCCTACAACAACATCGGTCTCGTGTATAACAACATGGGTAACTACTCGAAAGCACTTGAATTTTACGAAAAAGATCTCGAAATCACGAAAAAAGCTCTGCCTTCGAATCATCCCGATTTGGCAACTTCCTACAACAACATCGGTGGAGTGTATAACAACATGGGTGACTACTCGAAAGCACTTGAATTTTACGAAAAAGATCTCGAAATCACGAAAAAAGCTCTGCCTCTGAATCATCCCGAATTGGCTACTTCCTACAACAACATTGGTGAAGTGTATCGCAACATGGGTGACTACTCGAAAGCACTTGAATTTCACGAAAAAGCACTTAAAATAAAAGAAAAAGCTCTGCCTCCGAATCATCCCGAATTGGCTACTTCCTACAACAACATTGGTGAAGTGTATCGCAACATGGGTGACTACTCGAAAGCACTTGAATTTCACGAAAAAGCACTTAAAATAAAAGAAAAAGCTCTGCCTCCGAATCATCCCGAATTGGCTACTTCCTACAACAACATTGGTATGGCATACTCCGGCAAAGGAGACTACTCAAAAGCACTCTCATTCTTAAAAAAGGCACTTGTTATCTTCCAAAAATCACTTCCATCTAATCATCCTAATATTAAAACAGTTACAAACTCAATTGACTATGTAAAAAAGAAAATGTAACTGTAATTTTTTCTTTTCGCTTGCTCAATAAATTTATTCACATTGCTAATCGTTTCGATTTTTCTCGGTTCATTTTGGCTTATTCGCGCACGCGCGACAAGGGAGAGATCCCTTGTCAATGCCATAGGTACCACAGGCGGACCACGCCGGACTGGTAGGGCAATGGCCGAAGGTATGCCGTATGAACGGTATGGACCAACGACACATAGAGGCCTTCCCTAGCACTACACTGCTTCGCTATGGCAAAGTTTCTCTACCTATTGAATCAGACAACGTAGTTCTCTGACCCACACTAATAATACTCATAACTCAACTCATCTCATCTCAAAAGTACTCATACTCATACTCATAATAACTGATAGTATTTATTTTTTCTCAAAATAACTTATCTCAACTCAACTCAACTGAATATGTAAAAAAAAATTTTTTTCTTACTTCTCAATATTGTATAGTATCGAAACTCATCTAAAAAAAAGAAAAAAAAAGTATTATTAAATATATAATGAATTTATTATTTACCTCATATAGAATTTAATAATATAATTATCATTGTAAATAATATAATAGTAATAATAAATAATAATCCCGGGTATATAAATACATTGTAATGCATTATAATAATACAACTCGAGTGTATACTGTTTCATAATGATGTATTCATGTTTTTATATACCCTGATGTTAATTGTTCGACGTTTAAAATTTCGACTGATTTTTTATCAATCGT